GTAAAAACAACGGACGTATTATACATGTTTTTATTACTGATAGATTTTGGATTACGAAAAATGATGGATGACTAGCGGCTGTTGTTACGTGTGTTATATCTACTATTAACTAACTGAATACGGTATAGATTCCCGACATGAACTCCAATAATATAAAAGAATAATATAGACTACGTGTTCAAACTGGATTTGCTGTTATTTTGATATAACAGTAAAGACCATATGAATACTTCTATGATGTTTTATTATCACCAACAATTAAAATATACAATGCAATTGATGCATAAACAAAATACATTTTAATAGACTTACGTCGACAGATCTGACACTGAAATGATTTAATGTTCTAGCAGGGGCGGGGTGGCCAACCTGCTTTCGACCGCGATCGACTAAAATCTTCGAAATAGCTCGCTCTCGACTGATCGTATACATATGAGTATACAGATGACTGAGTACTCACACGCATACAAAAAAATGCACCGCTGCCAATAAGCTAGGCTTCCGCATACTGCGGAAGTTATTGGAGGATCGTTTTTCAGTCAAAGGCACACGATCTTGACACGTTCATTTCAGCCCTTGACAATGGGGAGCCCAGACTCAATTACTGTATGTGTATATCGTATTTTGCGCATGTACAGTACTGTATTCGTTCTGTTTGAAAACATACAACACTCGCTGCATGAAACTGGTTCGAGGCAATTTTTTGGGGTATGTTATTAAGTTCACCAACACCAGACGTGGCAATCGACGTATTACTCGCTTGAAATTACCTCTCTCTCCTCTTTCGTTTTTACTGAGCAGGGTTTTGGTCCGATCAAATTATTGCGACTTAATTCACATGCACTCACGATTCGGAAGATTGATTGTAAGCGACACTTATACCAAATCCTAAAAAATGTAAAGCAGACGTCTCACAACTAAAATTTATTGTTGATGTGCTATTGTTGAAGTTTGGAAGTAATGATGCGAACTATACAACATTATAAGATTTATAACTTTATGCGCATGACATCATTTCGCTAGCTATTGGAATTATCATGACATCGATCAGCGGTGTATTTTGGTACTCCCGTACTATGTGAACCAAGATTGCGGACACCGGAACGCAGTATGTGTACCAGGTTAGGGATAGGCCATAATTTCATTCCAATTTTCCTTATTTTAGTTCTATTACGAGTTCGGGGACTATCTAAGTGACTCCCGTAGGATTTGTACCTGAAATTATGGCTTAACCCAAACCTGGTAGTGCTGGTACACATTCTACGTTCCGGCGTCCTCTATCTTGGTTCACATACTACGGGAGTACTCTTTTGACTGTATTTCCTAGCATATATAGCCTATATACATTTTTGCTAATCAATATATTCCTTCACTACGCCAACATGACACTTAGTTTACACGCTCCCATGCAAAATCAAAACGTGTAGCTTTCGTTACTGGGCCCACACACATATTAAAGATTTTTTTTATATATATTTATTAGTATATAAATATTATTATAAAAATATTAAACATATTGAAGATTTATGCTTGCATTTTTTCTTGGCTCACAACGCCACCAAACGTCGTTTGCTACAAGCAATTCGTAACTTGAAAGTTATTTTGCTTAGCGGAAACTTTGCGTTCATTTGACCTCCTTGGCGAATTGTTTTGAATATTAAAAATTGATTCTGAGTACTAATGCCAATGGAAGACTTTATAGGGCCGTTCAATTGTAATTGAGAAGCATTTATGTTAGATACGTTAACAAAAATATGCACGACTTGAAAACTTAGATATATTGATAGCGAAACCTAACTGGTGTCGCCCGGTGATTGGCCGATGTCTCGCGTCGCTACGCTGACCAAGTTAGACTCTAAAAATCGGTGACACTCTACTTTTTGTTACGGCAAGACATACATCTCAAACGCAAACGCATGATTCTACCTGATTCCTCAAGATTTTATCTAAATTGAAGTTAAGTTGTTTTACCGTTTCATCCTGTCGTTTTGTATCTTACATCGTTTTAAATGAACATTATAATATACAGACAAAACAAGGATCAGAGACTTTACAGCGGGCTTCTTGAGAATCTTAATCTCTGCACGAACCGGAGTCCTAGGCCCTAGGGATTAAAGTACATGTGAATACGTACATTCACGCATTCGCCGATGCAACATTCTTGGCGTTTTACTCGTTAACTACAGCAGGGGTGCACAACTCAAATGAGGACGCGTGCCAAATTTTTCCAAATATTCTTGTCGCGTGCCACGCACAATCGTTGGTATGGACCTTTTCCCGACCTTTGACCGCCGTAAAATTCTCCCTATACTTTACCTTTGTAAAATTTTCGGTGCTTATTTCAAGAGTGGTTTCGCGAGTTGGCGCCTGTAAAATGGGATATTTGTTTCAAGCCATCATTCTGATTTATAGCATTCAACAATCTGTTTTTTAAAAATAATGAATTTTAGCCTAGTCTATCACAGCTAGATCTACATTAATTTTTGATAACCGCAATTAACTGAAACTTCTAAGAAGACAAAGTGATCATTGAATTATTTGATATATATTTACATATTCAAAACACAACTGAAAACTAACGAATAGAATTCAAAAACGCGAAAACGAGGTAATGTTTACGACCACGTCTTAAAATCTGTCTGAGCGAAAAAAGTCTCTGAGCGGAAGCGATGTTACGTCACTTTATGCATCTTGCTGATTGGCCAATGTTACGAGGTAAACGAGGAAATCTTCTGATTTTGATATAAACGTGATGTTTTAATGTATATCATCCGCGCGCCACGTTCGAGCGTATGGCGTGCCAAATTTGGCACGCTTGCCCCGTGTTGTGCACCCCTGAACTACAGGACCAATTGCTTTGAAATCTTCAGTGGTTAAATATTCCTGCTGTCGCTAGAAGGCTATTACTTTCATTAATTTCAAACTTCCTGTCGGCTCTGTGTGATTCGTCAGTCTATTTGACGTTTCGTGGTATGATGTCAACAAAATTAAAATTTGTTTCTAGCGGTTCCGCGACCTCGTGTCAGCTTAGCGAAAGTCGAAATTTTTTCACGGCAGTCTACGGTGCTGGTACTGTAAAATGTTTAATAATACAATTGCGACTGCGATCTTTTGGTACCACAATACACGTTGAAACTCAAAGCATGTATCACCAACTCACAGGACCAGTAAAACTAGGACAGTCCGGGTATCGGTAACCTGATACTGTAAGCTACCGTACATGTCCCACAGTTCTAGCTTTGTTCAGGTTATGATATTTGGGATCATTCTGGTTAAAAAAATCTTTGCTTTTCATGTCCATATATTTGAGCGCTGCTCTCTCGATCAATCAATATCCCTCTTAGAGTTTCTCTAGGAGAAATAGCACTACTGCATTTCGTCATCGAGATTTACTTTACCATACAAAATTTATATGGCTAAGCTTTATAAATTAAACAAAATGTAACGTGGGTAATGATGGTTTGCCCTGAACTTTAAGTGGCATTATGACTCAAAAAAATTGCGACTTCCTCTGTGTATTCAATCTCTGTGAACGAGTGATGTATCTTCATGCACACAACATGTAGACTCAACCGTATTGTACAGCTCTACATAAAGTATATATATTTAAAATCGATTGACTGTAAGTGTGGCATCACTTAAAATGGTTTTAGGCGTATATGACATTAACTTTATATATGAGAGTTGGTTTTGAATGTATATTTTGGTTACGTATGTATGTCGCGTTGCTAATCCTATCGTTTTTAGCTGCGTAGCAGCGCATAATCAGTAAAAAATAAACAATGACGTACAATTGAAATTCAAGCCGTTCAGACACCTTTTCACTTAGACAGATTTTCAAGCATGAAGAAGAATGAGTTTGACTCGTTTTCGTGGTTTTAAGCACTATTTGTTAAACCGAACCCTTATAGTTATATTACTGAATCAGTATTGTTTGAAATTGCAATAGAACAGACTGAAAAGGTATGGAATATAACATTATAAGACATCATAGAATGTGTTACTTGATGTTCAATGTTTGTTATACCATTACTAAGGTAGTGGCAAAAAAAACTGTAAGTAACGTTTTATGGAGGCTGTTTTATGATTTGGGTTTATACAGGCGCGAAAATAGAGCGCTGGGTTTGCGGTGTGTTTTTATTCCTTCTACCCCAAATTATGCAGTTTCTCATCAGTTTTTTAGTCGCCATATTTTGAAACAGACTGTTTTTACACACTTATCTGGACACACCTAACATGAGGTAAACATATATGATGCCATATAGCATTTTATTTCATTGGTCTAATGAAGCTAAAAATATGCCTAAGGGTCAAAAGCTATGCAGTATCTTGTAAAACATTTGGATGAAAGGATTCTTGAAGAATCTGCGGCTTACTTCAAGGCAATCTGGATTCATTAGACACTGATATTTGATACACGCCTTTGGCAATAATATAGGGCTGTGGTTATTCAATATTGTCATAAAGATGGGTGGAGATAATCACGCATGTTTAAAACTCGATATATTTTGACAAACTGCTTTACATAACGCGCCCTAATATAACTATGCGTAGCAAATATGAAAAGAGACAATTGCTGCGAAGTTCGAGTTAAAAAATATATATTTTAATTCAAGCATAAGAAGGAAAATGTAGCAAGGAAATAACTAATTCCGAACTTTAATTCAATTCGAGTTGGTTAGAAACATCAATCATTATTTTAGTATTATTTAATTTTTTGCTAATATATATATATATAATATATATAACACAAATATATAATATATGCCAACTGGTATGCTTAGGTGTGAAAACTCAAAAATTCGAATTACGTCAAGTACATTTCTCAAATCCATCGTGGAAGGAATAAAACAGACCAAAAGCGCGGTTTGTGAAATTCTTGCGGGTTTGCTATTACCTGATTATCGAAAAATTAGTTCTAAAATGTGTTTTGGTGTTTTAAGCCATGAAATGAAAACAAAACATCTTCTTATTCTAGTCTTTAAACTTATTCAGCAAACAACATATGAAATTTATTCAGTAAGTAGGCCTAAGTAAAAACTTTTTACGTTTTGAAATGGCAACAAGCTGTGGATACGAATTTCAACTAAAGCATCTACGACTCGAAAGCGCGCACGAAAACAATTTTTATGAATTCCAAGTAAGTCAGTATGCTTTTGAATTTATCCCAGTGGTCATGACATTCATTGCTCCATTGCTTATTTTCATTATTATAACTTCAAAATGGTGACATTCACATAATTCTCATTCTTGAAGTGAAGTTTTAAAATAAAATATAATGCATGTGATGATTAGCATTGATATATATACTACACTTTTAATATATATGTGAAAATAGCATTTCACAATCTCAGATAAAAAGCTTGCGTACATCAAGAATCTATTATTTTGTATTTTAAAGTGGTCGAAGAAGAAATTATACTTTGTTTTATATCGTGCTTTCACCATGTTTTATCACTGGGGCTGGCTAATAGCAAGCTGGGCGTTTGCGAAAGAAGATGCTGCTTACACTGCAAGTAATTGGAGTTTTTTCTTTACCGGAATTTATTATCTTTGCGCGTTTATCACTGCATTGTATGGACTAACTGCACGAAATGACCGTAAAATGGAAAACCACGAAGAATCAAATAACGGGAAGTCAGAGACTCCAGGTGAAGATACAAAAGTATTTGAGGTATTTGTAGAGATATATTTAATATTCAAGCTTGAATAAATGAACTTTGCAATCCCCACTTAATTATGGCACCCATTGAATACGCGGAAGAAAAAACTCATTCTGGGTTTATTCAAAATAAAACTGAAGGCGAATCGTTCTAAAATTAAATGAGGGCACATGTTAATTTCTCTTTTCATTTATGGCCTTTCCGCTATAAATTGAAATATCCATTCGTTTCTGCTAGAAACATTATATATATCTATATAATATAGTGCTTTAGTGATAGATAGAAATAAAATTTTGTGATTACTATAGCAATTGTAATCGTATTTAAAAGTTTATTTTCTTTATTCCCAGGTGGATTGCAGTTTTTTCATAAACTCACTTGGTTCTTTCATGTACAAGCAATGAATTTTGTGCTTTTCGTTACTGTTTTATACTGGGGACTTACGGCACCCGGGCTTTCTGCGGAAACACTGAAACAACCTCTCGGCCAACATAAACATAGCGTGCAAGGAATAATGCTTCTAATAGATATTTTTGTAGTCTCTATTCAGACACGCTGGATACAGTTTGTTTACACTAGCGTGTTCGCCTTGTTCTATGCATTCACCGCAGTTATCGTACACTTCGCTGGAATAAACTCCCAAATATACGGATTTCTCGATTTTGTCAACTCCCCCGGATTTGTAGCAGGAGTTCTTCTTGCGAATGTATTTGTGGCACCAATCATACTGCACTCAGTCATATTTGCATTTTACCATATGAGGATGATGATTCATCGCTGCACACTTGGAAAGAAGAAGAGAAGGCCCAGTCAATTTGCTTTATTAAAGGCATGATTAAATTGTCTTTAGATCGTGATAAGTTCTCATATTTAGCATGAATCGTTCTAAGAATGAATTCTCGAATCACTTAAATCTGTAGCTTATATTTTTACGATTTAGATTTTCACAACTCTTTCAGCAGTGACGTAATCAATGATATTTTATTTGCTTCATTAGCCAACTTTAATATTCAATTCAACTTTATTCAGATGGTGATTTGAAGAGCATGGTCTCATATTTGTACGTACAAATGCTATATACATACAGTATTTCGTCTCGAAGTTGATCTAGGGCACCTTTTGATAAATTATTGTTCTTGTTGAGGTGATTGTCGTTGTAAAAATCGCTTTTTTCTGCAAACAATTGTATTCTAAATTTCGGTAGATAAATATGGAAGAAGGTCGAGCTTTTCTACGTTTTCATTATTTAGTTTTCTCACAAGTTATGTTCATATATATGTCATCCCACATATGCTATATAAATTACATAATTAATTATCATACATGCATTAACATTACCATTTCAGGTACCATAAGTTTAATTTTTTGGAAATGATGACTTGATAGTACTCAATGCAGCTAGATGAATATGCCAAAATATATATTTTGCCATACTTTTTTAGCTTACTAATAAATAATAACTATAAAACATTGTATTCGGAGTGTCTAGTAGAGTAGACTCTATGTCCAACACTTCTACAATCAATAGTGTGGAAATTTCGGGGAAGAATTTAGCAATACTGTCGATATAAACTATAAATATATATATATATAAAAGAAACTGTGACCGTACATTTTAACCCATGGGTTAGGGTTAGTATGGGTTCAAATATCCGCAAAACAAACAAAATTTCCATAGGTGCAATAGTATGTAGGTGTAATTGTCGTGGGTTCCAATGTACGGGAACCAAAAGAAACCACATTACTGGTAAAACAAAATGATCTTAAAACTTGCGGAACCCTTGGATTGCACTGGCGGAACCCTGGTTGAAAATCTCTGCAATGGACTGCTGAAGCCCCGATTTTCTGAAGCCAAGCTATCATTTCATCTAAATTTTAGGACTTTATCTCTTTTTGCCCTTTCGGTAAATACAGACTATAGAAACTGCTTGGCAATTTGAGCCATTGGTTCAAAAACTAATATTTTCCTAAATCGACTTCTTGATTTAGATTGTAAAGTTAAATATATTAAAAAGTACCAAACTAGAGTTACAACAAATATTTCAGTGTTATACGAATACCAGAAATATTCGAAATTGTGATTTGTTTTCACGAGAATTCCGCTTTTCTTGCAAACCAAGTATTTTCAACAGTTTGTATATATGGTACAAATAAAATATTAGGTGCAAGATTTACTGCACAGAACTGCAGAACGTTGCAGCGCGATAACCGGGCATGAAATCTGTATATTGTCGATTTACAATAGAATTTCACAATATCGAGTATGTAAGTTTGCACAATCTAATTTAATAGAAAAATTTAAATGGATGTTTCCCCGACCTTTGAAATATAGCATTGCAAAGTTTCTGATGCTTATTTTCAGAATGTTTTTCGCGAGTTGGCGCTTACAACCTACTTCTCATGTTACAAAACATCATTTTGATTCAAAATATTCAAACACCCGCCCTTCTGAGGTAGGCTACTTAACGATAGATAATTTTATCCTAGTCTATCACAGCTTTGAGACTAATTTTTGATTACAACAAAGCTGCAAATAATATATAACTTTCCTGAAAACAAAATGGGCTTTGAGTTATTCAACTTCCATCTAAATTTTGGAAATAAAGGTAAAAACTGACAAATATCTAGTAAAACCACGAATACGAGCTAACGATCATCACCATACCTGTATATCCGTCTAAGTCAGGGGTGCACAACCTTTTTGCTATGGACCTTTCCCCGACCTCTAACCCCCAGAAAATTCTTCCTATACTTTACCATTACAAAATTTTCGGGGCTATTTTAAGAGTGCTTTTGCAAGTTGGCGTCTGTAAAATGGGGTATATGTTTCAAACCATCATTGTGATTTATTGCATACTGTAACAGCCGTTCTTTGTGACCTGGACGACACCGACTGCACACTAGATATTTATTAACAGTTCAATAACGCGGTCTTTCAAGCCCCAAGTTTGTATCCTCAATCCAGAAAATCACACAACTCGAAGTATACAGTTGACACGGTTATCTTAATACAAACGTAAAAACAAATCAATACAAAATACTTACAATAAATAAATAATCATACACAATTCGGCCTTTAGAAAGCCTACTCAAATTTATGAACACAATTATCAAACATAGTTAATTATTAAGTCGAACCAAATTACTATTGAATAACTTGCAGTCTTCAAATCAGAAAGAGTTACAAATTATAACATACCGAATTTGTCTGCTATTCCAGGCTTAAATTATCATAAGTTGAACATGAAATCATTCGTCAATGAAATCCGAACAAATCAATTAAATAAACTATAACTGTAAAATCAATCACAAAAGGCCATTTAATGCTCAAAATATCCCTAAATAGGCCTATGTGGGCAGCCATAATCTACATTATTTAATCGTCCTACAGTCAAAACAGAAAGCCAAGGTCGCTGAACAAGTTTAACTTATTTACAAATTACAACGAAACGAGCGCCATTCTCTGCAAAAGTAAAGCGCTATCTAAAGCAAATTACCGAAACTATCCATGTCTAAGCGAGACATGTCTGGGCAAGCAATTGCCACGAAGACTCTCTCAATTGTTTCGTAACAAAGTGTGTAGAAGCACACTGTCAATCAAGGGAAATTACGGCGTCAACAATAACAAATAAATTACTACACAAGTTAAACAGACGCAATGTTTAAGTCAATACAAAAATCAAGTGAATGCGATTCTCGATGTAACATTCCCCCAGCCAGATGTTGGAACCCAGTGAAAACATCTTACTCACAAATTTCTTACATCGAGGATATCACACACTTGAAAACATTTTACTCATTAACTCTATGAATCAAGCACAACTTTGCAATTGGCCTTCTCAATAAACCCCTGGATGTCTTCACAGTAACTTGACGCACAGCTCCAAGTTTATCAGGTGTAGTTTCCATAACACGTCCAGTCTGCCACTTCCCCTGGTATAGTATTGTCTACAAGTAGCACAATATCACCAACTTCCATATTACGTTCTTTAGAGGTCCATTTCTGTCGTGTCTGAAGTGTGGGTAAGTATTCTTTGGTCCATCTGATCCAAAACTGATCAGCTAAATACTGAATTTGTTCTTCGTCGAGTGTAACAGTCCTTTTTGTCGAATATGCCAGGAGGTAAATTACTTGTAGGATTCAGTAACAGCAAGTGATTTGGAGTGAGTGGCTCATCATCTTTCGGATCGAAACTTATTGGAGTGATGGGTCTGGAATTCAACTGTGATTCCACTTCACAAAAAATAGTAGCCAAAGCTTCATCTGACACCAACTGATCGTGTAAGAGAGCAACCAAAATCTTTCGAACTGATCGAATTAATCTTTCGTAACATCCTCCAAAATTAGAAGCAGTAGGTGGATTGAATTGAAATTTAATATTCTCCTGACGCAAAAATTGTCCAACTTTGCTTGAATTCCAAACTTCTATTTCTTTACGTAGGATTTTATTTGCTGCAACGAAGTTACTACCGTTGTCACAGATGAACTTGAATGGTCTACTTCTACGTGCAATAAATCTTCTTAACGCATTTATGAATGAATCTGCATCCATCGAGTATGCAACTTCCAAGTGTACGGCACGAGTTGTCATGCATGTAAATATACAGCCCCACCTCTTGACAGTACTTCGTCCTTGCTTTACAAGAAAATGTCCGAAGTAATCCACTCCAACATAGGTAAATGGTCTTTCACCTGGTGTGACTCTTTCTTTCGGAAGATCTGCCATAATCTGTTTACTCACAGGTGAACTTCTTCTTCGACAAAACATGCATTTTCTGATAACAGATTTCACCATAGCGCCTCCTTTAACGATCCAAAATCGTTGTCTCAGAGAAGTCCATGTACTCCCCATACCAGAATGATGTGTAGATACATGATGTTCTCTTATAATCATCTCAGTTACATGATGTTTATGTGGAAGTATAATCGGATGTTTAACATCGAAATCAACCGGTGCATTTCTCAATCTCCCACCAACTCTGATGAAGCCATCTTTCATAATCGGATTGAGTTTATGCAGGAAATTTGCAATCTTCAATCTCTTCAGTACTTGTTTCCCAGATGTACTTCTATGATTGGCTTTCTGCAATGCATCAATAACTTCGCCAAATTCTTGTCTCTGTATGTATTTCAAAATGTCGTCTCCAGCAACTCGCAATTCTTCAACTTCAAGTTTCTCATTGCACTTATATTTCTTCTTCTTCTTATGAAGGTATTCTTTGAATCGAATCATCCATGCACTTGCCTTTTTCAATTTATACCATGTTGAGAAATATGAAATGAATTTATCCATTGGCTTCAAAGCAAACTCAGAAACATAATTCGCAACAACTCGTGGCTTGCATCTTACAAATTCATCAGGAAGCTCAGGTAACTGTACTGGCGGTTTAGGCCAATGTTCCTCTTGCTCTTGGAGAAATGATGGTCCCTTCAGCCATCGTTCATCCATCAACGATTGTACCGACAACCCTCTGGATGCATCGTCTGCCGGATTCAAATCTGTAGGTACATATCTCCACTGCAAAGCATTCGATCCCTCTTCAATCTTTGCAAGTCGATTTGCCACAAATGTTGGAAATCTTCGTGATGTATTATTAATACTCAAAAGCACGGAAGTTGAGTCTGTCCAAAACATCGACTCTATTTCTTCGAAGTCTAATTCACGTCTCAGGAATAAATCTAATTTGACTGCAAGAGCGGCAGCAGTCAACTCCAGCCGTGGTATTGAAACAGTTTTGATGGGTGCAAGTCGAGCTTTTCCTAAAAGAAACGCAACATGAATCTTCCCATCTTCATTGATTAGTCGCAAATACGATACAGTCCCATAGGCAACTGCAGAGCCATCTGCAAAATGGTGTATTTGACGAGTCACAATATTGCCAAAACCAGAAGGCGCAAAACATCTTTGCATGAATATATTCTCAAGTCCAGGAATATCTTCGAGCCATCTGTTCCACAATAAATTTTCACTATTCGATATTTCATCGTCCCA